TTATGAAGATAAAGAAATTAATATATAAAAGCTAATAAAAATTATATCAAAATAAATTCCAGAAGCTAAAAAATAAAATAGATTATGAAAATTTTAAATTTAATTTTTTTTAAAAAAATTTTACTATAATAATGTAATGTATCAATATTTTTGTACTGGATTATATTATGAAATTTATCAAAATTAAGTCTTATTTTGACTGGTATTTATTCAATAAATATCAGCTGAAAATTTTTTTTAAATTATAAATATATTTTTTATATCTTTAAATATATTTCTATAAAATATTTTTTATACTTGCTTATAAAAAATATTTTTAAATAATTTTTTATAGTACTTTAACCAAAATAGTCTTCCAGTCTATCATCTTTAACACGTGATTTCACAAAATATTACTATATTAACATACTTTGTGATCTTAGATAATTTTGTTCCTGTCATTCTAAAGAATATAATGCCAAATTTTTATAAATTTTTAGCAATTTCTTATTAAGTTATAGGCAAAAAATATGATTGTTATTACTTTTTATGTTGACTATATCAGATTTTTTTTAGTATTATTTATATTTATCTAACTTAAATAATTAAAACTTGTTTTTATTAAATCAAATTATTTCTGTTAATTATTAATTATTTAATTTTAATATTTTTTTATTCATTCTAATCAGAATTTTTTATATATTTTTTTAAGTAATAACTTTTTTGCTTAATTCTTATAAATAAATTATTTTACTCTCAATTTAGCTTAAAGCTCATATTAAACTTAAATAATATTAATTAGATAATATTTTATTATAATAATCTAAAAATATATGAATAATCAAATTTTGATTTATTTTTAAAGTTTCTAATTTTTTTTATTTTTATAAATATATTAAATTAAAACTAAGTTTACTTATTTTAATAATACAATTTTTCTCTTCTTATTAAAAATATATACTTATAAATATTTTTTTAGTAAAATATAAAATATTTTGAAATTAAAAAATAATTATAATTATTATTTAAAATAATAAAAGTATTTTATAAATATTATAATAAAAAAAATACTTTTATATTTATTTTTATAAATATAAAATTTTTATTTAAATTAATTATATTATATAAAATATTAAACAAATTATTAATTTATGAAATAAAAAATAGATAAAAATAAAATATATATTAAATAATTATGATTATTTTAATAAATAAAATTCATTTTCTTTTATTTTTTAATAATAAAATATTTAAAACTTGTTATTTTTTTCATATTTTATTTCTTTAATAAGTTATTATATATTAGTAATATTTATCTTATCTTTTTTTTAAATCTATTCTTTAGATTTAAAATAGTTAAATTTACTTTTTTTTATTTTTATAATTATAAAAATTATAATTTATTTTATTATATTTTAAGTATTTATATTAAAATAATTTTTTAATTATATATATTACTTAAGTTATTTTTATCTAATTAATTTTTAACTATTTAAATTATAATATTAAATCTTTAATTAAATTATAATTATAACTTTCTTCAAATAAATTATTATTATTTTATTAAATTATTTAAAAAATAGTTTATAGTAAGATTATCAGCTATTTATTTTTTAGAATTAAAAGATTTCTTTAAAATTTATTATTTTTTAATAATAATTTCTTTCAAAATTATTATAAGTTTTTTGAAAATATCTTATAAAAGTATAATTTAATTAGATTATTCTTTTTGAGATTTTAAAGAAGTAAATTTTATAAAGAACATTTAAGTTTTCATAATTTTTTCATTAAATTAATATTTTTAAAATAAATATTCTTAAATTTTTAAATATAAATAATTTATATTTTAATTATAAATTTTAAATATCAATTCTAGTCTTTTTTATAATCTATATATTTTAAATTATTTTAATATTATAAATAAATTTTTTAAAAATATTTAATATTAATATAATTTATATTATTCTTTAAATTAGATAATAAATCATATAAAAATTTATTAAGATTTAATATTTTTTTATATTTTTTAAGTTTTATATAAAATATTTCTAAAAAGTTATATTTTATTAAGTATTATAAAATATTTATTTAATTTATATTATTTAATATTATAATAATATTATTACTTATATTTATTATATTAATAGATTTATCTAATAAATATTCTTTAGTTAATATTTAATTTTCATAAAAATTTTAGTAAAAATTATTAAATTATTTATTATTATAATATTATTATAAAAATATTAGTATAAGTATAAATAATTAAGAAATTTCTAAAACTATTAAAAATATTTATTTATATTATAATATATATTTAAATATTAATTAAAGATTTTAAGTATTTATAATTATAATAATTTTTTATTATATTAAATAAATCTATATTTAGATTTAAATTTATATTAATATATAGTGACTATCAAAAGTAATGCAATACTTAAATTTTTTACTAATTATAATTAGTAAAATGTGTGATTTTTCTTACATATAAATATTTTTAATTTTACTAACAAATATTTTTTATTTTTATCTTAAAAAATAGCTAAATTTCTTTAGTTTAACATATATTTTTTTCAGATTTTTGGATTTTTTACTGGTGACTTCTTCTAATTACATATAAAATTAATTAATTTTTATTAATTATTAATTAATAAAAATTAATTAACTTTATATGCAATTAGAAGAAGTTATCAGTAAAAAATCTGAAAAATCTGAAAAAATATATGTTAAACTAAAGAACTTTAGCTATTTTTTGAGATAAAAATAAAAAATATTTAGTAAAATTAAAAACTTTTATATGTAAGAAAAATTATGTATTTTACTAATTATAATTAGTAAAAAATTTAAGTGTTATATTACTTTTGATGGCTACTATAAATAAATTTCATATATTAAAAATATATTATAATATTATTTTTATATAATTTATTTCTATAATAATTATATATATTGAAATTTATTTTTTAAATATATAAAATATAAAGATTATATTAATAGATATTGTATAAATCTTCTAAATCTAATAATTCTTAATAAATTATTTTAATATAATATATTTATAAATAGATATTTCTTCTTTAAAGATAATACTAATAGAATTATAAGATTTTTTAATTTTATTAAGAATATTATATTTATTAATTCTTATAATTCTTTATTTATATTATATTTTATTCTGAATATATTTAATAATTATATATGATTATATAGAATTTAATAATTATATAACTTATATCATATTTGAAAATTATTAGATCTATTAGATTTATTTAATATAAATATTTAAAATCTGATTTATTTTTTATATAATTAGATTTTTAGATAGTTTATTTAAGCTAAGAATATTTATTATATTTTATAAATAAATATTTTATTTATAATTTGAGAAATAAGAATATAAAAAATATATCTTGAGTTTAAATATTGATATTTATATAAAATTAATTAATTTTAAAATAATTTTCTAATTAAAAGAATAATTATAATATATGATTTTATTATTTAATAATATAAATTACTCTGCTAATAAATTATGTAAAACATCTTATATATGAATTTTTATTGATTATTTTTTCATTATTTAATATTTTATATTATTTTTATCATCAAAGTAAGTAAAATCTATATATTTTATCTTGTTATTTTGAAAAAAGTTAATATAACTAATTAAGAAAATTTTTTCTGAATTATTCTCATTATTAGAAATATTTATTTGTAAAACAAGATATAGTATTTGTATGATTAGATGTACTTTCTTTAATAGATATACTTATCTCAGTTTCTAGTAAAATTTTCTTGAAAATAAATTTTGACATGATTATGCAGACTTAATATACTAATATTAACTTTTGAGCTAGAAGAAATATTAAAGACTTGAGATTTAGCTAATATACTTATTTTATTTTCTGATATTGTCATATTGGCTTGTAATGAAGTTACTTGATTTATAATATACTGAATTTTAATATTAGTAAGTCTTAAAATAGTATTAGTATTATAAGTAACTTGTTTAATAATATATTATTCTATTTTATTAACTTTTTTCTGGATTATAGTATCATATTTCTATCCAAATAGCTTAAGAATTTTTCTTGCTTTACTTGTTATCTTGTAAGATATGACATCATTTTATTATAAATCTGGATTCTTGCAGTCTTATCCTTAAGATTTTTATTTTTGGATGTAAGCTTTATAACTCTATCTTCATATTTTTCAGAATAACAACTTCAAGATAAAATTTCTTTCTACTTTATTTTCTCCTTCTATAAAGTTTATCAAAAATCCTTGTAACAAACCTTGTACAACTTCAGACATTAAACTTGGAATATATGTACTTGCTTCAGCTGAATTTCCAATAGATTTTTCAGATATATTTTGTACAGATTCTTTTGGTAAAATATTTTCTTGATCATGAACAGTGTTCACGATTTTTATTTCACTGGATAATGGGATGATATCAATTCTTCTGAAGCAGTGTCTTGTTTCCAGAAGACACCTCATGATCTCGAAGCTTCTTTTTCTTAATTCTCTCCATTATTTCGTTACTAACATTTTCTTTATATGCCGTTTCTACAAAATCTAGGGTCTCGGCTGAATCGTCATCAATAATCTCTTCTGGCAAAGAGGTTGCGGATGGTTCAGGTTCTGTTGGAGATTTAGATCAATCTAAAGATTCGCCCCCTTGGGCCTGTGTCATGTTCTAGTTGAGGTAATTCTGGACAAGCGGATGACTGTGAAATATTTCCTGTAGGAGGTATATCCAATTTATTAGGAATAACTTAGGTTTGTAGTTTGATTTCTTCAATGTCATGTCTTAATTTCGCTACTTCGGCTTTAAGTTTAGCATTCTCAGCTTTACGCTTGGAATTCTCAGACTCAAGATCAGATTTTTTTTATGGTCTGCCTAAGCTTCGCATTTTCAGCCGATGCGACAAATCTAATTCGGAATGCATGTTCGATAATATTTTTATAAGATATATATTTGTTCAAAACTTAGTTAATAAAATCACACAAAATTTTCAATTATTTCGATCGTGAACGTTGTTCACGCTTTTTGCCAGGGCGAAGCCCATAACTCGTAGAGTTGCCCAAGAGGCTTGTTCCACAATAGAAAAATATATGTCGTGAAAAAACCGTGACTGACACGTATTTACATAGTAGAAAGGTTTTTATGAGTTTATCAGACTATTTGCGCTTCTCACGTGTCTCGGATTTGCGCATCTCGGAGACGACCCCAAATAAAATCATTATCACGCATAAAAAATTTCATTGTTTATTAATAAAAAATAAATTGCAAAGTCAGACACGGCTCATAATTATCACATCATTTACTCCCTTCTGTTATCTGTTTCAATACGTACGGAGGAATAGGTTTCGAATTATCAAGAAATCCAGTACAATTGGATCAGGGAGAAGTTGTCGGTGAATTGTAGCTTCAGGAGTCGCATCGTGATACAAACAATCCGGGGAAATGTTGATGACACATTGGCCTGGTTGAATATTTGTGGGTCCCGTATTTGTCATGGGTACCGAATTCAAACTAACAATTAAATGTCAGGTTAGAAATTTGACACATTGATAAAAAAGATGATTTTTGTTTGTGACATTACATGAGTTCGAGGCAGGATATCTGCTGTTCTTCTGGGTTTGTCCTTGGCACAAAAGTGCCATGCCTGGTAGGTTAAATTATTTAAAATGACAAACAAATAATGAAATGTCATGTGCACTATAGGAATATAACTCACTTGCATCCGTAAAGGAACTTCTTCGCCCTCAGGAGGTTCATCAAGCTTAACAACGATCGCGTCATGGACGCGACTAGCCAGTGATCGTTCACTTTTTCTAGGACATGTGATTCACTCTCAGAATACGCCACTTCGATGACGAGATTCGGCCAGGGTTCACCCTGAAATCGTGAAAATATGAAATCTTAGTTCTGAAGACTTCAGGGCCAATAAAAGAAGGTATCTCTTTATCACACCCATTTGGTGGTCGTAATTGTGATTTTTCAGGGCGAAAACATGCAACCCCCTCTTTCCCAGAATTGTCGGCGCGAGTTCCTTAAGAAAAACAAAGATTCGTTTGATATCACAAACATAAGGCTGGGACAGTTAATGAGTTGATATTTACGAATTGCGCCAAGACCAAAGATATGGGCATCAGTTCCAAACGCAGGATCACATTGCCTGAATAATACTTGAGTGATCGTGAATTATAACATTGCCGTTAACCCATTCCCAGTATCCACGGATGTTAAACTTATCCGAACGTTCTTCATATTCTTCCAAGGTGACTTCAATCCAAAAGCAAAATGGGAAGAAGTAATGTAAGTCCCTTTTAAAGTCAACTTGCTATTTTATGGTGTAGTGAGGTATAA